ATATATATATATATATATATATATATATATATATATATATATATATATATATATATATATAATACACATGTGTAAACATTTTGCTTTTCAGATAAAAAACGTTTTCTGTCTGTCAATATACTCTATCCAGAATTCCTCAAGTGGAAAAGTTTTAGTTTAATTTGCTAAAAAAATCTTTAAGGAACCTTTGGCTATCTGAATATTAATCGATTAATTGAAAAAATAATCAACGGAATAATCAATTTGCAAAATAATCGTCAGTTGCAGCTCTACACATATCAAATATGAGTAAACTGAGCCGGAAATGCCTTGTGCCACTTAGGTCTTTGCTTAGATTTTCTACTTGACTAAAGGGGAGCATGCTTTCTACACGGTTAACGTAACAACGGTGTACATGCATTTATTAATCCCTGGTTCATCAGACACTCAATTTGGAGAAATGACTGCGGTGGTTTTCACCAGGGGAAAAGTCGTCCAGCTCTGGCACCGTCCCCCAAAAAACGTGGATATTTGATCACCTCAAATGGAGAAAACTTACTGTAGCTAAAAGTTTCTGTGTAGACGCTTGGGTACCACTGAGCACTTTGGTTGACATTGTTGCTGGGTGCAGACTCTCTGTCTGGTGTACATCGTCTCTCATGCAGCCATTGCTTTGCAGTTCCTTCTGTTTGTGTGGTATCCTTGTTACTGAGTTAAATCATACTGCATTATATATTGCTCTTGATAAACATGCAGCTCTACTTCAGCTTAGTCTCTGTCTGTACTCTGTCCTCAGTGAAAGGAGAAGTAGTTGAATAGCTGAGGCTTTGAATCTTGTTCTGGTTAACGCCTGTTAGTAGTTCATCGGGCCATGTCCGTACTTGTAACTCTTTCTCTTTTTTTCTTTTTGCTTTGAATAATAAAAATCCTCTGCGTTTTCTGGCTTCTGTCTTACAGTTCCAGTGCATCTACGCCTCTGCTGCCGGAGTCGCAGCCGCAGCTGGCTTTACAGAAGTCTGTCTCCAATCTTCAGAAGTCCGCACCCGTGACCAGCCAGGAGGTGTGTGTCTGCACCTTTAGCTGTCAGGCTGGTTTTTTTTTATGCTTCCCAACTATTTTAACTTCTCTCTTCCTTTTGGACTGATTGTAACTGCAGATCTAGTATAAATTCAGGTTTTACTTTAAGAACAAGTTCCTCTTGTAATTAGCAGTTTGGATATTTTGGATTTCCAGTTATGAAAATTCCTAAAATCCCTATCGTGTTTCTCCAGTAACATGTAGCCTGAATAATAATCAGCTGGGTTTTTTGTACTTCCATCTCATTGAATCATCTGAATGCATATTATTTTACAACCATGTAAGTAAAAAAGTTTGATGCGGTGCTAGAATAGTTAAAATGCTAAAAAGTGCTTTTATGATTTTATGAATTCGCAGTTTATTTGCACTTTAAAACTGATTCTCTTTTGGAATTAGCTAACTTTGGCAGAATGTAATATTCAGGTTTGGGATAAACCTTATCAAAAAAAGTTAATGCCTAGATTTGACATCATTTTCACTCAAAAGTCATCAAGACTTAACTTTATTCCTTTTCACAGAACACAAACACAGGTGGACCAAAGCAATGGGCCCAGCTAAATGGAAAGGCAGTAGAGCAAGATGGTAAGCAAGCTCCCTTTATTTGATCCTTTATGTTGTTTAAACACCTGCAAGATTTTTGGTCTGCTTTAAACAGATCAGTGTTCGTCCCCCACTTCGATTCAACATTCTCGTGAAGTTGTAAATAAGTTCGAGCGAACAACAACTGGATTAAGCCCACTTTTTGAAGTGGCCTCTGCCTGCTTCCTAACAGCTAAAAGGCACGGTTCACTGCAGGTCTAATACAAACCAGCATTGATCCCATCCTCATACAGAAAGCATGCATCTCTTTGGGCTTAGTAAGCCACCCTGGTAAAGGACATAGTATGGAAAACATACCTGATCTGCTTTCTGTTGCTTAGCAAACATTTCTGCCGGCAAGCAATGGAACTAGGATGTATTCTCCAGAATTGGAAATTAAAAGTCTTATATCTAGAGAACTGAGCTCCTCTAGACACCAGCATTATTTTTCCCGCTGTAATAATGGCATACATTTGCAGAACAGAGGTGCTGCTTGCAGGGCTCTAGTTTTCCTTCATCTCCATGTCTGTACTCTGTCCTGCCATTATTTCTAATCAATAGAAGCAATGACCTCCATGTGCATGGCTTTACTTTAAGAGGTAGTCTACTTGCAAAAAGTGTGATTTTGAATTAAAAAGCTAATAGAGAAATAAAGTCTGCTTTTAAAGTCCAGACCAAAGGGCTGTTTAGAACAATCAGTACTTAAGGATCTGTGATTTACTTTCCTTTTACACTTATTCTCAGTATATAGCGCGCTAGATTTGGTTACCATACTTGTTTGTTTAACTACTTCAGGTTCAAGGGCCTTAAACCGACTTCAGCCCTTCTCTCACGAGGAATTTCCCACCCTGAAGGCAGCTGGAGAACAGGACAGAGCTGGCAAAGAAAGAAGCGGCTTCGATCCGTCGTATGGGCCCGGACCAAGCCTCCGCCCCCAGAGTGAGTTCAGTTCGTTCTTACATCCCTACACAAGCTAATATACTGTGGAACCATCTGATGGTTTAAAGAGATAAGAAGAATCTGAAATGTGTTTCCATAAGTTCTCAATTGTGATCACATGACTGTCAGCAGGTTTTTGTTGCTCCTTTAAGTAATGTGTAAAACAAATTACATTGTTTTCAGTTTTTTTTTCCAGTCTTAAATAAATTATTACACATCAATGTGAAAATTTTTAACAAACTGAAAATCTGATGGTATGTCATATTTTTTTCCCAAATGTTTTATGGTGAAAAGCATTGTACATAGGATAAGTATTGTTTTACAGAAAGTATTATTCTTGCTTCCTAAATAACTTAGTTTTTTCTGCTTTGAAGATGTGACGAGTTGGAGGGAAGGTGGTGGCAGGAACCTTCAGCCCTCCTCCCTGACCCTCAGCCTCCCAGCAGATCCTGAGGGGAAGATCACTGCCCTGGCTGAGACTGGCTCTCCGCCAGCCTCCTCGCATCCTTCCTCTGCCACCGGCACCACCTCCTCCTCTAGTGCAGTGAGCGCTCCGTCACCGAGCCTGGAGCCCAAGGAGCCTTCCCTCAGACCTGCCCAGCCAGTACGCAGACCAACCGTCCCTACTGCCCTGCAGTATCAGCTTCACCACACGTCAAACGCTGTCTACCATGACATGTTGCCTGCATTTGTAAGTATTTGTTTGCTCTCGACTAATTGGCTTTCATGGTAAAACAATGACCAAAAGCTTGCTCCATAGCTAGATGTCTAATGCAGCGTGTTTTATTTGATATTTTCAGATGTGTGCTAAAGAGACACGTGAAACTACAACCCCTGACAATGTTACAACCACTGCAGCAGCCCCAGCCCGATTTGACAGCAAACCCACTTTTAGACCAAGCTTTACCAAACCTGAGCTTGTCAAGTAAGTAGTTTGCTAATAACTGTTGAAATGTTACTACTTATTATTGGAAGGGATGTTTCTTTATTCTCCTCTTTGATTACAGCGGAGATTTAAGAAGAGAGAACCGCTTTGTCCGTGCTCCACCTCGAGTGTCTTCTCAGCCCATCCGCAGGCCCAGTGAGAGACCATCGCGTCCAGCCATCATTAATCCAGAGGACCTGAAGGATCTGGATGACCTGGACAACGATTGTGAGGATGGTTGGGCTGGTCAGTATTTTTCCCTTATTTTCTAATGGCATAGAGTAAGGCTGGACGATGAACTGGATTTTTTATAATAGTGATACTGATACGATAACCGGCGATAATTTTCCCATATCTGTAAAAGAAATAAGTGTAATTTAGCAGTTTTGCCAATGTGCGCTAGTGGCTGGTATTTTCTTCCCCCTTAACACACTGCAGCTTGTGTGTAATCACGTGACTCCACCGATCCAGTCAGAAGCTAAAGCAAAGAGAATGGCGGATAAGTCCAGCGAAAAAGCTTCTAACACAGCCGTAACAAAAATAATTGCATCAGTTAATCCTCTGGAGCCGAGCGAAAGCAGAGATGAAGAAGTAAAGAGCATGTTGTCAGAGTTAAGCGTGAGGCAGAACGGTTCCGAGACTAAACGATGCACAATGTTCTCGTTGCACGCTCAGTTTGGTGGCACCAAAATTACGCCGTAGATTTTGAGCTAAAGAACACGAAATGCAAAGTTTGCCTTAAAACTGCCGGGACTACCCAAAGAAAAACATCCAACCTCCATCACCTACAGCCACGCTGTTGAGTTCAAAGATTTGCAAAAAGCTCCATTACCTTTGTGCAAAAATGTTTGCAAGAGAAATAACATTTTTCTCCTGTTCAATGAGACATTGTTGAATGTTTTAACCTGAATGGGTACAAGACTTTAATATTTAATTGGAGTAGTATTTAATGTGATTTATTTGATAATTATAAATAGATAAGTTGCATTTCCTGCACATGCCTTTATTTCTGATAGAGGAGCTGGAGCATTTATCGTGCATTTATCGTTATTGAGGTAAACCTTCCAATTTATTGTGATATTGATTTCTGGTCATATCGCCCAGCAATAGCATAGAGCCACTTTTGCGAGTGCGTTTTTTTTTTTTTTTTGACTTTCTTTTATACGATCAATTAGTGAATGCATCATGTTTATTGTTTGAGCAACACTTTGTAATTTATTAAGTTAAGATTTTTGCTGAAGGTCTACAGATGGATCTTAAACACCTCCTTTAAGTTTATTCCTTGTCCTTTTTAAATTTTTGGGAAAGTTGCAGTAAACTTAAAAGCTAACGTTTAAAAAAAGTAGCAAAGGCCTTTTATGTTGTAAATGCATTATTTATAATATTGCAGGTTTTAATAAACTGAGAAGTGAGTAAATGAGTTTAAATATTGATTAGTTTAGATGCACTCCAGTGAACTCTTGTTTTACAGCAGTTTTCCTTATTGCATTTACTTTTTTCTTTAGGTCTTCATGAAGAGGTTGACTACAGCGAGAAGCTCAAGTTCAGTGACGATGAAGATGAACACTCTACTAGTGATAAAAATAAAATGTGGTATGTTGTTCTATTGCCCATTATATTCTGATATTCAGTCATGGGCTTCAGCTAAAAGGATTCCTGCTTTATGTTTGCAGGGCTGAGTGGGAGAGGGAGAACCAGCGAGACTGCCAGTCCTCTCTTAGCTCAGGAGACGCACCTTATTCTCAGGAGGGAGCAGAAGAAAATTATTCATCCCATCACCACCACGAGCCTCTAAGGAAACCCATTGGCAGATATTTGTCTACTGACAGTCAGGTAAAGCACAACTTTAATCACTTTGATCCAACTCTTTCCAGGGTCTCTGGGTGAGATTATTTAGTTTAAAAAATGTGTCCCTTTCTATTGTAGCTTGAGAGATAATTGTTTGCTATTGACTCATTTATAATGCTAATTATTAAATGTGGATATTTCAAAAGCATGAATGAAAAAGTGTTGAACAGTGACGCCTATATTATCAGTCTTATTTATATATTGAATTGCTTTATGGGGCTAAACAGAAAAACCACAGTGACCCAGCAACAGACTCAGACGATCACCAGCGTTCTCAGAGTCAAGCACCACCTAGGGCGAAATACATGTCGCCTGAAGTATCCGAGGCTGTTGAAAGAGCCCGAAGACGGCGAGAGGAGGAGGAGAGACGTGCTAGGGAAGAGAGACTAGCTGCCTGTGCTGAAAAACTCAAAAAGTTGGATGAGAAGTTTGGAAAGTCTGAAAGACCTGCGTCAAAGGTGGAAGACATCCCGAAGGAGGTCGAGGGTAAAGAAGTCCCACTTTCTCCAACCCGGGATCACAATAAAGGCCATAATGAAAACTGGCAGTACGCCACAAAAGGTAGAACAAACTTTCAGAGAAATATTCCATCTTAAACATTTTCGTAAAATGCTAACAGAAGGTGATGGATGTTCTTATTTTTTATTTTTTGTTTTTTTATGTACAGAAGGAAGTGAGTGTCTGCCTGTCAACTCCTTTGTTGGCCAAAGCTACCGTGATGAGCATAATCGCAGCAGTGACGATGATTGTCCAGAACCTTCCTCACCTTCGGAAGACTATGGTGGGCGTCCAGCCTCCAAACCTGTTCCACCGCGCTTTCAAAAGCAGCTACAGCAACACCAGCAGCAGGTAAGTTGACCTTTGTTCTTTAAAGAAAAAGACAAACTGAAAAATCTTTGTCATTTACTGGTAGTTTGTTCATCATTTCATAATTGTTCTAATCTGGGCGCTTTGTAGGAACAACCCCCCAAAATGCAGCATTGGCAGCAGTCTGGTCACCCCTCAAGCTCAAGTCATTCCCAGCGGGGGTATTATCCCCCACATGTTCTTGGATTTGATCCCCGCTGGATGATGATGCCAACTTTCATGGATCCACGCATGACACAAGGACGCTCTCCTGTGGACTTCTACCCTGGTTTGTGTTCAGACTTCAGGTTCACACTAAAGTTGTTGATTTACATCAAAAAAGTCAATGTGAAGTGGTGCTTTAGCCAGACAAAATTCCATCAACAAATTCACTATCAGACATTGAAGTTTAGAAGAACATTACCTGCCATTTAGGTTGATCTAACATCAAAAAGGCAACTTTATTTTTAAGTTTTGTTACTCCAGTTGGATTCCTTCAAAGCTTATGTTTTTGTGTTTTTATGCGTTTATTACCTTTTTTATTCATCAGGTATGGTAAAACCCATGGTGCATCAAGACCACCTGAACAGTCCTAGCTCCGACGAGGGATGCCATTCCAACCTACAAGAGAGACGGGCCCCGTCCACTGAGCCTTACCCAGTTTGGAACAAAGATGGCTACCCATTGCGGAGCTTCACTCCTCCCTATCAGAGACAGAATGAAAGCTCAGATGGTGATCTGTCAGGGGAAAGGTTGGTAAAAAAAAAAAAATCCCTGAATGTTCAAATCCTAAAATTAAAATGTGAGAACTATAAAATTCTGAGGAATTATTGATGCTTAAGCAGCTTTGATGATTAAATAAGCTTAAAAGAATCATCATTTTACATACTCACTGAAATTATGGCACATGGTTGTAGTATTTTTAAGAATGGCAAAAAACTTTTCCCATTGTCTAAAAGTTTTCCCTATCCAGCCATCATGCTTTTAGTGCATACTTCCATCCATCCACCCATTTATTCCTGGAAATTAGTCACTTCCTTTAAAGAGTTGACTGAGTGAATCGAGAACAGTGAAAATTAGAATAGGGAAAGCTACAAAGCTTTAAAATGCACAAACAAAAATAATGGGAAGCCTGTTGAGTTATTTTCCTAACTCAGAACTTTTGATAAAGTTTGTATTTTTTATCATTATTGAATTTAAAAAAAAAATATTTTTCCCTATTTTTGTAGAGGAAATATTGCCCCTTCCCAGCGGGACGCCTTTGAAGATGGACCTAATCAGAGCTTGACAAACAATGATGAGCCTTCCCATAGCGCTTACCGTAGCCGAGACTCTGATAAGGAACGCAAACACCATGACACGGGCCTTCTCACCACTGCTCAAAACCTCTGTCAGAAGAATGAAGCCACAAAGCAAGATACAAGAGATAAACACCTGAAAGATGGTCTTGACTCTTATGAGACCATAGACGGATCCCAGGAGGGCTGGAAAAGGGATGGAGGGGGCCTCAGTTCCCCGAACCACTGGCCTGAAGCTGGTTCTACCAATAGTGTTAATCAGGCATCTGAGACTAGTGGGCGGCCATTGATTCGTAGAACTGGGCCCATCAAGAAACCAGTTCTGAAGGCACTCAAGCTGGATGATAAGGAGAATGAAAAACCTAAACCTGAGCCTGAAGAGAAGCCTGTTCCCTATCGTCTGGAGAAAGAAGTCCTCACTAATGTTTATGATTTGAAGAAAGACAACCAGCCTACTAATAACAGGCGTCCTGCATCACCTGTTGTTGAGAAACAGCCTGAAGAGAGACGGCGCCAGTCACCAGCTCTTTGCAAAACAGACAAGCCTCTCAGCACCCACAGTGAGGACTTCCCTAAGGAAACTACCTCAGTAAGCAGCCGGAACCAATTAGTTAGAGAGAGCCAGGAAAAAAATCGGGAACCTCAGGCCCCACGCCGCAACAACTGGATTTTCATTGACGAAGAACAAGCTTTTAGTTCAGCCAGAGGAGGAGGTAGAGGCCGCAGTCGAGGGTTCAGGGAATTTAGCTCCCGAGGTGGAACTCGAGGTGGCCGAGGAGGGGATAACCTTAGAGGAGCCTATAATAACACCGGTGGTACTCAGAGGCCGGCTAGAGGTCGAGGACCACCAAGAGATCTCTTGAAGGTTGAGGAGTTCCAGAGAGGCAAACCTCGTAGACGAAATGTCAGCGAGACATTGAGCGAAGCATCAGAGTATGAGGAACTTCCCAAGAGGCGAAGGCAGAAGGGAACAGAAAATGGAGAAGGGTACACAGAGTCTGGTGATGTTAGTAAGGCAGATAGAGACTCTTGGAGATCAAACAAGGTGTACACCGATGAACAGACAGCCTCAGATAACAGAGAAAAGGCCAGAATGAGGGGCTTTGGAGGCCGTGTTTTGCCCCCTAGACTGAACACGGCAAACGGCTACAATCGAAACTTCGGAGGTTCGAGGGATATTTCTTCATGGAGGGGCCGCGGACCCCATTTCAGTGGCAACAACAGCTCAATGGCAGAGAATGGAGGACATGGTCCTGGAGCGGAGGTCTCTTACTCCCGCAGACCATTAACAGAACGTGAGGCTCTTAAGTACACTCCTAAGTTTTCAGGCTCTTTCACAGAGAATGGTGGGGAAGACCGTGAAGGGGAATACTACTTTGAGAACGACAACTCAGACAGACAGATGCTAAGGAGGCGGCGTCCCCCACGTCAAGACAAACCTCCCCGTTTCCGGCGTTTACGACAAGAACGCGAACCTGGTTCAAATCAGTGGACGAGCGATGAGTACATTAATGGAGACTTTGCAAATCCCTGGCCGGCTCGCCCTAAAGGAAGCGGAGAAGACCATTGGCCCACTGGTCACTTCTCTGGACGCTCCAGTCAGCATGCCCAGACAGAAGAATGGGAGACAGGATCCGACAACAGTGACTTTGACTGGAGAGGGAAGCAAGGTGGGAGTGGAAATATGGCAGTGCAGGGACACGTTGACATTACCTCAGACTCTGGTCACAGTGAATTTGGCTCTGGTGAGAAGAGGGAGCTCTCAAAGAGAAGCTTCTCCAGTCAGAGACCGCTGGTTGAGCGACAGAACCGAAAAGGAGAGCCGTCACTGCTAGAGGCAAGCAAGATGGTTCGCACACCTGAAAATCCCCCCGCTCCGACATCCAGCAGGAATGAGAGTTGGCAGAATGGAGGGACTTCTTGCAAGAGGTTAGGCGGTTGTAGTTATGCTGTCTTGTTTGGACATCTGGATTTTTGTTGAGCAAAAATGCTTAAAATCCTGTTTTCTTTGCCTCTGTGTCTACGTTAGCAGGAGTCCAGATGACTCTGGCCCAGTCTACAGCTTGGAGCCCCCACCAGAGGACAGGGAGCCCAGTGAGCTAACAGGAAAGAAATTGGAAAAGGAAATAAAAGCAGGAGCTGTAAAGGCAGACTTTGCTGAATCTCTCGCACAGTACGAACTCAGCAGCTACCCCCGTGAGTTTTCTTGCTATTTATTTTGAAATTAAGCAAAACTTTCTAAAGCTCTCCTGTAGCTCTCTTCAAATGAAATGAAGAGAGCTTTTATTTAAAAATTTATAATAATACAGACATTGCTGAACAACAGCAGTAGCTTAATGTCCTTTGCAATGATTGTTTTTTTTTTTTTACACTCTCTTCTTTCTGTTAGTTGATCCTGATGCAGGGGGACAAAATGTGGATCCAGATGGTTACCAAGATGCTTTGTCAAAAAAGCAGCGCCGACCACAGGAAGATGAGAGGCGGAGAAAAGAACAGGGTGCCGCTGTAAGTTTAACTATAGGCTCAGAGTAAAGATTCTAACTTCAGTCCAAGAATAACAGCATTTGGGTCTTAGGGAAAATGTACAACGGTTACCTGGGTGAATTATATGTCAATATTTTTTATAAGTAAAATGCCCAGCAATGGAAAGTATTAGTATGGAGGATGATAGTCATTATTATGAAAGCTTTTTTGATATGAGTTCTTTTTTTTTTTTTTTTTTTTTTTTTTTATATATGAGTTCTAAAGTCTTTTGACAGCAACCACAGATATAACTTTTAAGAAAGAAATTTGTTGATAGTTGATCAGAAATGTATAAATGTTTTAACATGACTGTCTTCTTAAAAGGCTAAGGCCCCGTCCACACGAAGACGAACCCTGGCCTAAACGCACAAATTTTTCACCAAACCAGCCTCTCATCCATACAAAGCCGGCGTTTCGTGGGTCTGTAAACGATCTTTTTTTTTATTCAGCCTTCAGAGTGGGAAGATTTTGAAACGCCGTTTTCGCGTTTCCAACTCATGCTCATGCTACTCACCCTGCTGTCGGGCTTACAACAGAATCTTCTTCTGAAATATCTCCAGGAAGAACAGAGCAATATCAACGACATAGTTCAGCACCTGAATTTGTCTGAACCACGAAAATGGACCCGCAGGGCAACCATGTATAAATATTAGTGCGCATGCCTATCATTTCGTCGCCTATTTTTGCTTTGGCACCACAGCGCCACTTACAGGCCTGGCATACATTTTGCAGCGTTTTCATGCATTCGTGTGGACGATCACATTTATTTTACGTCTCCATCTTTACGACAAACGTTCTGGAAAATATTAGCGTTTCGTGTTCGTTTTGACTTCGTGTGGACGGGGCCTAAATCACCACAAAATTAAGATGAAAACAGAAAGATGTTTTATATTAAACAGTTTTATGTGGCATTTTTTATTAGTAAAATGTTGTCTTTGTTAATTTTACTTAAGTTTTAAAATACTATTTAAAAATACTTTCTTTAAATCAGTTGTTTGTTCTGAGGTTAGACTTCCTCTATTCTTGACTTTTAAAAAATACAGAATCCTTCACAAGGCAACAAATGAGTCCTTGGCTTTACTCTTGATACTCTAAGCTTAGATCTAAGCTCTGCACATATGCTGGATTAATAATATCACTGGTTTTGTAGCCTGCCAAGTAAAAGAAAACCAGGAAGGGGTTGTCTTATCCTGCTCAATGGGAAGCAGGCAATCAAATGACAGAGTTTCTAAGGAGGCGTCCCTTGTCCCGCCTCCTTGATTTTGATGGATGTGTGACAATTTAGTTTAAATTCATGGTGTGCTTCAGCATAGGATCAGGAAATAATTGATAAAATCATGATATGACCATCCTCACTTCTTAAAGTAAAATCAATATATTTAATCTAGGCCTTTAAATATTATTTATATTTTAAATGTTATGTTTTTGTTTTTTACAGTTATGCATTGTGGCAATTGTCACCTTCCACACAGCACTAATCTTAGGTGTTTTATTTGCTAAAATAAAAAGTAATTTTACCGTCTGTGGAAAAACAGGCTGCTGATTTTAATTATTACAGCTTGAATTTTTATTAGTGACATTTCACTTTTCTAAATCTTGACAGTTGGTTTTCTAAGAACTATTAATAATAGTAAGAGTATGTAAAAGTTAAGTTGCTGGCATGCCATATTACATTTATTCAGACTTGGACTTTTATTTTAATCTTGTATATACAGAGTGTATACAAAAAAAGGTTGTTTTGTAGAGCTTTCAGACTGTAAATAAACATTTCCATTCCATAAAGTGCAGCAGTGATCTAATGCAAACAGCATGGGAGAAAAAACATGAAGCAAAACGCTTTGATATGGAAATTCAGAGATCGCAAAGACAAATGTATATGGTGCAAAAATGCAATAGAACTTTTTTTTTTTTTTTTTTTTTTTTGGTTTTTTTTTTTTTTTTTTTTTTGTGGAGTTCTTTTTAGTTTTTTCTTATCAGTTTGATGCAGTCTGTTTTCAGTTTATTTGTCTTTTAGAAGTAAATCATAAAAATCCAATTTATAATTCATTATGTAATTAAATAACTGACCTCAGTCCATTATCAAGATTTCAACAAGACTGTTGTTAATTTAAAAAGTAAAAACTAATTACAGTCCAAATACACTTGGATCAGAATTTTTGTGATTTATCCTTTTCCAAGAAAGAAACTCAACTATAATACCTCTTTGATTGTACTTTTTTTTTTTTTTTTTTAACTCCTATTCAGCTTTATTCACCAAATGTAATTGTTTTCTTTGGATATTTGTATATACAGATGAGCTGGATGACTTTTCCCAAAAATCAATAGATTTATTTCCCCAACTTTATTAGATATAGTGTATATATAGTTACAAATGAGATGGATAAGAGATAAGAGGCTGAAGTAGTGCAGATATGTTTGCTATAGAACATCTTTTTGATCACCTTAAGGAAAGATGTTTCCATGGTGATTGTTTTTTGTAAATTCTGTAGACCTTTATGCTAAGAATTGGTATAATTTGTGCTTGAAACCAGTTCCTCTTTATTTTCTTTAGGTACAAGTCAAGAATAGAACAGCCACGTCCAAGATGCCACCACGCTTCATCAAGAAGCAAGGAAATATGAGTCTGGAGCAAACGGAGGAAACGATTTCCTCAACGAACAACCTAGGAACTGAAATCTGGGAAACCAACAGTTCAGGTGGTGTCTCTTTTCTTTCTTTATTTTTATTTATTAATGTCTGGATTTTCATTTAACTGAAACATATTTTCATTGAGTCTTTTTCTATTCTTGTCCAATAATTTTTTTTATCTGTTGTAGCTCTTTCTGTTCAGTCTTCAGGGGGAGACTCGTGGACTAAACAGGTGTCGTATACTGCGAGTGAACCTAACTCTGAGGTAGTGTAAGGCAACTCCTAAACAGAGCTGCCTGCTGTTGTTGTTAACTGTTGAATACACTTTTCAGAATTGTCCCACACCCCACCCCACCCCTGGTGTGTGTGGCTGATTATATACTAATATATCACTTTTGGGTAACTATCACTTGTCTAAGTTTTAACACAGTGTAACTTTCCCCCCAGGATTCTGATGCTGGCCCAGAACAGAGTAAAGAACAGCACAAACCAGGGCCCATCGGAAATGAACGTTCCTTGAAAAACCGCAAAGGCTCAGAAGGTGTTGATCGACTAGAAGGTGGCCCAATTACTCCAGTCAACGGTGTGGATCTCCATGTGGACAGCGTACTTCCCGTCCCTCCCATTGAGTTCGGTGTGAGCGCCAAAGACTCTGACTTCAGCCTGCCGCCTGGCTCCGCCCCCGTACCGGTCTCCAGTTCTGTTAACAAGCTTCAGGATACACTTGGCACTGATGTGAGTAACTTGACACATCAGTCCAGACATATGGAATATAGTATCCAACTGCTTATGGTGAGAAAACATGGATTTAATTTTGGTTGCTTGTTATGAAAGTGTAAATGGTTGATATTAAATGTTTTCCCAAAACAGACCTCTTTAAATCAGAGCATCCCAATGCTGCGTTCCAACCACCTGCAGCCTGGCATTAGCCTCAACACCATCTTCCCTACTGCTGACCTCACTCTCAAGGTATTGGAATCTTATTTGTATAAAGAAAAAGCAACACCTATATTATGTTAAATCATTAATAATTAACCTTGTTTCTATGGGGAGATTTGTCTGGTTTAGATTTGTTAACTTATTAAAGTTAACCAGGTGTAAAATAATGCTTGATTCTTTCTTTTGCAGATGGAGTCGGCACGTAAAGCCTGGGAGAATTCTCAGTCTCTCCCGGAGCAAGGCTCACCCGGCGGTAATTCCTCAGGTGCTCAGCCTCCCTCTAGTGCAGGTTCATCTAGTGGAGTCAGCTATAGCTCTTTTGGAGTTTCTATGCCTCCAATGCCTGTTGCATCGGTGGCTCCTTCCATGTCCATGCAAGGTAGAATTTTTTGTTTTTATCATACCTCACTCTCTCACTTTATGTGATCTAATCTCAGACCCGTTTGCTCCGTAACCCCAATCCAGGTAATCCTATTCCTCCGTTGTACATGGACGCTCACGTCTTTCAAACTCAGCCACGCCTCGTTCCTCCCACTATGACCCAGCAGCAGACCTATCCACAGGTAGAAAAACTAATCCACACACAGACGCACCAGAATAAACAGATGGTTGTAATTTTGCGACTTCTCGCCCATTCAGGCAGCAGCAGCTCAGCAGATTCCCATCTCTTTACACACATCTCTTCAGGCTCAGGCTCAGTTGGGGCTCCGTGGAGGTCTGCCCGTCTCTCAGTCGCAAGAGATGTTTAACTCCATCCCCCCCTTCAGGTATACAAAGTTAAAATGTTTCATCAAGAACAAACATGAATTTATCATATTTCTTTCTCTCATGTATGTGAATCTCTTTGTTTTTTTTTCCTCGTTTCAGGTCCCAGGTTTACATGCACCCCAACCTATCACAGCCCAACCCTATGGTGCTGTCAGGTGGGGCCCCCCTAAAGGGTCCTTATTCAGCTTTTCCTGGCATGCAGCAGTCAGACATGGTGAAATCCCAGTCAGGCTCCCACTACCAGCCTATGAACGGCAACCAGCAGCTCGTCTACGACAGCCAGATGAATCAGGGGCCCGGTATGGGTTCTTCACAGCTGATGGACTCCCAACTCATTCAGGTAAAATTAAATAGAGAAAAATACTTTCAGAGTAAACTCTTAATTGCTTCTTTCCAATGTATTCACCTGCTTCCACTCTGATATTCTCAATGAAATGACATTAAAGATTATGTAGACTATTGTTATAAATTAATGATGTTTATTTCCACAGGTGACTGTACCTCTACCTGGCTCACAGCTGCGCTATGGTTCAGCTCAGCAGCACCTCATCCTCCCACAGTCAATCCAGCTGCAACAGGGACAGAACCTGTCAATGGGGGGGCCCCGCCGAATGCTGCCACAAGGCTCCCAGGCTGCTGTCATGACTGGCAGCAGAGAGGCGAGTCTGATTTGGGTTTTGATTAGCATCCTTCAGTTCTCTTCTTAAATCTAACTGCTTGTAGTTGAAGTCAATAAGATTGACTTAAAATCAACTCTTTTTCCTCCCTGAGAGCATTAAGGTCCATTTAACCAGGGATGTGTTGTCATTGTCTTTGTGTCGTGCTGATTTCAGGGCTCACAGATGGAAATGAAGGGATTCCAGTTCTCTGAGAAGCCCAATCATTCTCCAGGTTTATCTGGAGGTTCCTACAGGTGGGTGGGAAATGACTTGTTTTGCATACGCTGATAAATGTAAAAATGCATATAAACTCTGTCCTTAAGCTTAATAACAATCGTTGCTTTTCAGGCCAGGGTCTGCAAGCCCCAGTGGGAAGCCCTCTGGTCCCGGTGGGCCTATGGGGCCTCTGCCTACACTTTTTACACAGCAGGTGCTCATTTTTCAAATTTCTGTTTGGATGGTTTTATGTCTGAATGGGTCAAATAAACTTTGTCTGAATGCCATATACACCATTTAACAAATAGCAAAGTATTTTATTGGTATCTGCAGATATAGCATATAATTCATTACTTTATATCTATGCTTTTATTTCCCACGGCTTATTTCTTCCTCCCTTGTTTTTTCTCTTATGACTGTCAGGTTTCACCTGCTCAAGGCAGCATGGTAATGCACATGCGACCCCCCACCACTGGCCCCTTCCCCAGTCCAATTCAGAGACCTGTCATGCAGGTTAACAAACCCGTCATCATCCGCTCCCCCCCTTACCCCAACCCCGGCCGCGACCCCTCCCATTCCACCCCTCCTTCAGTCCCTGAGCCCCCAGTCAAAGGGTCAGAGGATGGCATGAAGGTGAGCCACCCACTATAAATATAGGTAATTTATTTTTATCCATGTCTTTTCCTCTATTCTATATCCTTTTTGTATTTTTCTTCATTTGAATTGTCATTAAAACAACCAGTTTTTACTGGCATACCATCATTTTTCTAGTTCATTGATTGATATCAATAACTTTTCTATTATTCGTATGAGAATGGTCAAAAATGTTTTACTTTTCTTTCCATTTATAACTTCAACAATTAAAAGAAATGCCATCAGGTAGATAAGAGCTATATTTTGAAGAAAAAAAATCTTTCTAATGTAAATAATTATTGTCCATAATTAAGATATACCATTGCAGTTTTGCATGTACGCCATGTTTTTGTATTAGTTCTGATTAAGTTCCTTGATTCATTTAAGTCTGTGGTAAATGTTTCTGATTTGCTCATTTGTCTTATTGTAAAGATGATAAATAGACAAAAATGCTGGATTTATTTTATCTGCTGGATGCACCAATCCTATACGTCTGATTTCTGGTCTTTTTTTTCTTTGTTTTATTTCCTAAATATAATATTGGTTCAAAAAGAAATCTGATTTCTTTTTAGAAAAAGTATATATATTTTTAAGTATTTTTTTTTGTTATTGCTTCCAATATTTGGATTAATTAAATATTTAATATTAAGGGTAATGGGAAATCATATATTTTTGTTATATTAAACATCCAGTCTGTGTAACGGAGTCAAAAATACACCCAAGTTAAATTACAGCATGTTTTTTATGACTTTATATATTCCTCAAGCTGTTTTATAACTTCTTTTTGGACACCTAAAATGCACCCACTGGGTATTCATTCATCAATTGGAAACAAAGAGAAACGGGAAAAAAAAAAAAAGAATAATGAAAAAATTTAAACTTTTCCTTTTATGCTTGTTTGGTGTGCAAGTCCGTATTCTATGCTCCTCTTAATTTTTCTAATTTTCCTTATGTAGAGCAAAGCATTGCGAGAAGTACGCAAAGCTGTGGGGGAGGGCAAATCGCCACCAGGGGGCATGACCAGCAAACTCCAGGAGCCCTTACCCACCATGGGTCAGGCTAAACCAGCACGCACTGGAGCCATCAAACCCCAGGCTGTCAAAGTAGAAGAGGGCAAGGCATAACAATGGACCTTAAAGATCCTCACCACCACCGACCCTGCCAACTCAGAGATCCTCCATGAGATGTCCGGGTCTTTGAAAGAGAAGCAAAGTGGGGTGGGGGGTGGGTAAACTTGGAGTTACAATGAATTAACCATGAACTCCCAGAACTGGACACTATTATTTCACACCAATTATAGAGATATATAAATGAATATATATTATGCATACACACAGACCATCTTTTAACCTGAGCTCTCCAAGGTCCTCTTTAACTTATTATTAGACCCTTTCAGGAGAGACTGGTTTGGCAAAATATTTGTTTTGTGTTTGTTCTCGGTCGATGATGGAAAAGAAAGATGGCCAACTCAAAAGGTTCACTCTTCATGCCGTTTTGCCAAACTGTATTTGCTTCCTGTATTTGAACTGTAGCCCTCCAGAACAGACAGGACATTTAACATAACCTACTGTAAGAAGCAAAGTGTGTTATTTCCTATTAACAACTTTGAAATGCAGTTGGGCACTTCTTTTTTTTTTGTCATTTCCTTTCAGATTTTGCTAGTAAATAAAGGTTACCTTCATGACCACCCGTTCAATCCACCTGTGAAAGACTTGTTTTATTAATTCATCATGGGAAAAAAATTATTTCCTTGCATGTCAACATTTGTGCATCAGCCCAGAATTATGTCTGTTGGAAGTACACAACAAACCCCACAAGCTATCAGAACTGCTTAGATTAGTGGAAAATCTATTTTTTTTTTTCTTTTTTTTTTGTTTCTACATTCTGTTGCTCTACTATGTGAAATTAAAGGAAAAGGAAGGACATTTGACGGGATCCTATTTCTTCCGTGGGAAAGTCACAGGCATTGACGGAGTGTGTGCATGTGATGAGCTGAATGTGTGTGATCTTGCAGGGCTATCATCAAGCAGCTGACAAAGTTTCACCAACACTTTCTATATACTGTCAATTGCTCAGTCGCTGTAAGGACGCGATTAAAAAGTGTGTTTTTGAAGGGGTAGGGGCTTAGATGACATAAAAAACTTAAATGTATCAATGAAATGAAAGCTTCCCTGTTGCTTTGCCTGGGTTGGTATCAATTCACTTATCTGTATAAACCTGATTTATAAGTGATGTTTCTTTCCTATATACCGTAGTTATCTTTGGAGGTTAGCCGGATATTAAAATTCCCATCCTACTGAACAGCCCTGTCAGGAATGGGAAAGGCGCCTCCTTCAGTCAGCATCTGTTCTCTGCAGTGGCACTAGCAATAAACACAACCTAACTAATCGCAATCGGGGGCCAATTAGACAACTTTTTAATCTTGTTCCAATCAGCACCAAGGACTGCTTACTGCTTAAAGTAATGTCTTTTTTTCTTTTTTGTTTTGCAAACTCCCAGAACTCTGTTACAGAAATCTTTTTTTTTTCTTTTCATTTTAGGTCATAACTCCTCATCTTTAAAACCTACAGTAAAAATGTCATTACTGGTTAGATGTTCGCATCATGTTCAAGGACACTACAACATGTTTCTCTTTATTACAGTGTTTCACTGGTTTATATGTAAATGCATACTTAACTGTACAGTCATGCCTTGTCAATGGAGCGTAGAGGTGGAAACATTTTATTTTGAAAAATGTTGTGGCACTATAAAAGATTAAATGTTAAGCAAGTCACTGCGTTCTTAACATGAACTGCTTTCCTGTGATCAGTCTGTTGGGCTTGGAGACTTTTCATCTTAGTTTTTGTAAAAGTTCCTACTTTTCATCATTGTATGACCACAGATGCTGCCCTGACTTCTTTTATTTTGGGCTTTTGTGATGCATTTTTTTCTTTTTCTCAGAGGACCAGTGCATCTGATTCAACGCTTTATCCATTCAGCTATTGTTGGTTCAAGAGAAACGGTTCAAGAGAAAGAACTTATTGAAAGAAAAAAAAATCAAGCAGTGGTGGTTTCTTTTGTTTTGTTGATTATATGTACTGAGTCAAATATGAGAATCAAGTTTGCAAATGTCCAACACCCATGAAGAAAATTATTGCCCAATAGTCTTTGATTTTTTAAAAATCTATTATAAAGACTGTTCCATATTTGATGTGTGAAAAAAATGACTTTTTTAAACACCAGCATTGGCCCTCCACACAGGTATCGCCAGCTTAGATTTGCTGTCACTTGCTTTAAATATTTTCTTTACAAGTTCCATGTATATGTTGGGCTCATGATACTGCCTCAGAAAATACTAAAATCATTTTCAAATCCAAAAAGTGTTGACTTTTGATTTTTATTTTTTTATGAATGATGAACGCCCTAAGCACATGGATATAGTTTTGGGAGGGAACGGGGGGGACATGTCCCCTGCACGTTTTTAAATGTCCGTTTTTGTCCCCTGCACCTTTTACTATCCAAAAACGATTCAATTCAATTTAGTTTATTTAAAGCGCCAATTCACAACACATGTCATTTCAAGGCACTTTATAGTTCAACAAATCATACAGTCAAATTGATTAAAAGTTTTCTAAGGAAAAAAGTCGATTGCATTGACTCGGATGCAATCCCTCATACTAAGCATGCTTGTAGTGACAGTGTGTGAGCGGCCATCTGCCGAGGCCGACTGGGGTTAAAGGAGAAAGAAGCAGAGATAGAAAACTGTAAAAGGCGGCCCCGTCCAGGAAACACACAGCCAGGCAGACGAGCTCTTAGCCAACTCCCATGTCAGAGGAGGAAGAGAGCACATCCAGCCTGTCACAGTCAGAGAAACAGGACTACACTGGTAAACAGGCCGATCTCCAACATCTATAAACAAGGGTGTTGATGGCAGCAGCACAACTGATAGTTCTCTCCAGGATGGAGTCACAGCCAAACAGGAACAGACGAGGCAAAGCAAAATGATTTTACACTACAATACAGAGACATTCGTCGAGCACTAGGACCAAGTGGAAAACTGCTGCTCAAGCTGAAGCCAGCTTCCCTGAGTTTAGACCGCCCACAAGCTCCTGATTGGCCGAAAGCTTTTCTTATGTCATGTGCACCGCTGTCACTCCTGAGAAGTTCAATATACAAACATCTGATGCGCCAGTTAATCGGATCTGTGATCCGGGTTTGTGATGGTCAAACACGCCGAAGTCAGAATCTTAGATCAATATTTCGTCCATGCCTAAGAACACGTTAGACAAGCAACCTGCAGGACACTGGTTTTGTTTCATTTCTTTGGTCTGGAATCAGAACAAGCCACAAAAAAAAACAACTAATAATTTATTTTCCAGTCTTGAGTTTAGTATGAAAAATGTCTGACTTGAGGAATATCATGGCTTGTTCTGTTGGTATAAAGAATATAAAATATGCTGCTTTATTTGTTAAGGGTGAATGAAAATTTTGTATTTATTTGTTATTTATTTGGAAAATATAGATGTAGTGCATGTTTTTCCTGTTGGTGTGTTTGATCAGTAGGCTGACCATCAACTGGTTTCCATGCCTATTATTATTTTCCGGCCATCCCATCCCTTACTTGCCAGCCCTGTGACAGTTTGCTGGAACCGCCTCTGTTTGTAGCCCGAATCTGATGCAGATTAAAGTGCCTTCATCTAGTGGCATCACTAAAGGCACCTTACGTCAATTTGCACTCCTCGCTCAAAAGTCTGCCCTGCATTTTTATTTTATTTTTGAGGAAATATTCCCATGACTGACTTACATTATATGTAATTTCTAATTATTTAAGTTAGTCATTAAAACTTTTAAATGGAATTTTTTTGCCCAGGTTACAGATTTAGTTAATCTGGTATTATGCCTTCTTGATCAGAAAACAATGAAACTGGAACACAGCTTTAATAAGTTTCAGCTACAACAGAAATCACGCTGAGTTTCATTTTCAGTTTCATTTCAGTAAAATAAGGAGTGGAACTTGAAACGATAGTCTCCTCATTTCATGAATGGATAGGAGTGTGAGAAAGCCTGGACTCCACCGTCTTAAAGAAACTTTAGCCAACGCTGAATTAAAAGGTAATTTCTTTTTTAATCACCAGTCAAGCCATGGGTAGAAAGAAATTGATTAATTTGTGCCTTCCATAGCAATGCGAGCTTTGCATTGGCATCCTGTGCTCTATGCATTTTCTCTCTTTGTTTCATTGCAGCCATTTGCTAAAATCAATTAGTCAATTTTATTTCTCATTAATGTACACTCAGCATCCCCATCTAGCTGGATAAAAACAGCACAAATGTAGAATTTGTTTGCATATTTATCAAAAAAGAAAAACTGTAATATCAAATGGTCATAAGTACTCAGACCCTTTGCTGTGACATATTTAAATCACCTGCAGTTCATTTCTTCTAATCCTCCTTGAGATGGTTCTGCTCTTTCATTGGAGTCCAGCTGTGTTTAATTAAACTGATTGGACTGGATTAGGAAAGGCACACAACTGTCCTTATGAGACCTTAAAGCTCACAGTGCATCTCAGAGCAAACCAGAATCATGAGGTCGAAGGAACTGCCCAAGGAGTTCAGAGAATTATGGCAAGGCACAGACCTGTGGATTTTTGCACTGTTTATTCTCCCACAATGTTTACATTTGATCACTGCTGCACTTTAAGAAAATGGAAATGTCATGAGAGCTTTACAAAACTCTACAAAATAAAAGCCGCTACATTATACACACTAATTTATTGCAACATAATGTCACAGCTTTATGACCAAAACTCAACCATTTTTTATTTGACTGTATTGGCCTTTGCACAGCACTGCAGAGCTCAAATTAAAGCACTCTCAATACCACCTTAATAAAGATCTATTAACATAACAGGGAAAAGACCCTGCTGGACTCTACAAAATAAAAGCCACTGTATTATACACAATAATTCATTGCAGCATACGGCTTATCGTTATGACCCATACTTAACCAGTTTCTTGAAGTTTCTTGAAATGTGCACTCAGCACACCTGAGTGCACATTTCTAAATAAAGCTTGCCCATTTCCTCTGTAATAAAGCATTGACTAATCTAATAAGAAGGAAAAGGATAGATGAAACAATTGTAAATGGATTCCATATAACTCCAGAGTCTGACCTCATGTTAAAGACACAGCCCTACTAGACCTTCAAAATTAAACACCTGTTACTCTACAAAATAAAAGCCTTAATAATACAGATCAATTTATTGCATCACCGAGCTCATTAAGATTCCAGTCATCAGTAGGTCCAGAAACACCAGTAAGTTGCCACCAGCTGTTGCCACGTCAGTCACCTCTACGAGAGGTGACGCTAGTTGCCACCAGGTGTTGTGACACCAGTCCCCACTAGGATTGGTGACGCTAGTGTCCAATTTGACATAACCATGGTTAACTCTTTGTACA